AATCAGGATCTTTTTCAGATAAAATTTCATGGATTGCAATAAATTTCAGAAAACTAGGAAAGACTTCATATGCTAAATGTTTAACTTTTGTTATTTCTGCACAAATGAAAGGTATATAATTTTATAATTGTACTTCTTTTCGTTTTGAGATTTCGTAGCTTTTCTATTGCGCAATACCGCATTACTAATTCTTTTTATCCTACTGTTTAAACATTTCAGTATTTGATTGGTTGAGACTATCCCACGTGTCATTGAACAAATCTTCATATTCCATTCTGAGGATCATATTCCACTCTGAAATGTCGGGATTACTTCGTGCGACGTTACGCGCGTTTAATGTACATAACGTTTTGAACTTCTTATTCTTCTTAAAATAGCGATAGCAAAAATCATTATCATGTTCAAATTTATTTCAGACGATAAAACAAAAAGACTTATAATTAAATTTTGATCCTTACTGTTTATCAATGGGTATGTCGTGTTTAGTTTGACTTACAAAAACAAGCGGATAAGAAAAAAAATGTATGCAAAATAATATTTAATGTATTGATAGTAAACAAAGCATAGGCAGTGGAATAAAACATTAATTTCCCTTTGCCTCGGGAGATATGAAGATTTGCTCACCCTCGAAAAATCATATTTCCCTCGGGCAGAGCCCTCGTGAAATATGAATATTCTTGGGTGAACAAATCTTCATATCTTTCTCCGGCACGGGAAATAAATGTATAATATTTTCTTTTTGTAGATATTTGTATGAACAGTGAGATGTACTATATGATGTATGGACTTTTTTGCTGGATCTACAAATTAAAAACTGTTTGGTGTGTATCTCCTGCCATATAAGTCTTTGCTGTTTCTTTATATAGAATTAGAAATAATTTATGTTCGGACGAGCATAGCGAGGTAGAACATAATTTACCTTCTCTTTTTATACTGGAGCCAAAAAATAATGGTATCTCGTGAATATCAAGTTGTTTTCATTAGCTTCAAAGGCAACAGGTTTTCATATTTCTCTATGCAAGCATAATTTCTCGAAAAAGAAAGGGAAGTTTGAATAAGAAGACTTCAAATCGCTAAGTAAAATTTCTTTTCCAAGATTGATGTTTTCTATTTGTACAAATATTGACCATCAAGACCTCCCTACTTGGTAGGGGAGGGGGGGGGGGAGTAGATTGTGACATTTCAAGGTTTGATATATACAAGTCTGAAAATTAAACCCAACAGTGTTGGAATTAGATTTTTATGCTGACAAAATTTTATCCCTCAACGGGATTTAAACTCACACCTTTGATACACCCATAGATGTATAAACCCATAGCTATGAGTTTATACATCTATGATACACCACAGCACCAATCGCTTAACCTCATGTCCAGCGCTCTAGACCACTCGACCACATTCGCTATATAAATATATATAACTTCAATAGTCGTAGTGTTACCTTATATATAGTGAGACTTCATTTAGTGTTCCCGTTTCTTGAATAGGTTTCTAATTTTTAGTGCAGGTATCAGCTTTAAAACCATGAACATGATTAAGAATATAACAACAACAAAAAAAAACAGAAATTGTCTCCTGTCATATATATCATCAATAAAGAACAAACTCACACCTACAAAAACATCACAATTAAAGAATGTGTTCCTGGTTCATCACAAGGCATATAATGCATTGTTCATCCTAAAAGTATTCAAGTCAAAATCAAGAATATGTTTGCTAAAACACCGAATTAACGCAACTTACTGTACATATATATTTATATATAGATTACCTAACAATGTAATTTTAACACACTATTTAGTATGTAAATATAAGAATGTTTAAAATATTTACAAAATGATGAAAATAAACGCAATATTTCGCTAGACTAACTAGCTTTATCAAGCGTGCATCTATCCAGGTGAAATCGGATGTAGATGATAAGAAAATTTTGCAGCTTAATGTATATGTTGCACTTGAATTTAGCTGCCTTGAAAATAATACATAATTTGGATGAAGTTCAAGATTTTTACAAAATTGGTAGTTGAAGTTAGCAACGTCCACTGGCCAATATTACAGGATAAAAAGGACGATGCTGTGTACTAAATTATTCTTTATCTTTCCTGTATCTTTTCTCATCTTTTTCGTTAAGACCATCAGGTTCTAAAGTGTGGAGTTGGTGGATCCAAAAATTTTCTCTTCTCCTTCTCGCCGTGGTGTCCCACTCGGTGTTGACGTCTATGATTTGGAAAGAAACATTATCAAAAGAATGTTTCGTTGAACGAAGATGTCTTGTGAGAGGACAGTTTTTGTTGGTTTTGTACCATGAACGATGGTTATTGAGCCGAATATTAAATTTGTCCATTGTTTCTCCCACATACTGAATGCCACAAGTGTCACATGTTAATATATAAATTGAGTTCTCCGTTTTAGAGTTGGAATTTGAGTAGATGGTATAATTTTGTTTAGTAACGGAGCTGATGAAAGAACTGCTTGTATTGGCAGCTTTACAACACAAGCAGTTCCTTCGACCACATTGTTTGTAGCAACCGGGAGATGGAGTAGGCTGCTTTGCTAATACAGATGTCACTAATTTGTCACGGATGTTTTTAGGTCTTCTGAAGGCCCATGACTGGTGGTGAGGAAAATACTTTTTTAAGATTTGAATCATTTTCTATAACTATCCAATGCTTCTGAACAATGGAAGACACATTTTTAAAATCAGGATGGTAAGTGAGTACAAGGGGTGTTCTGTTAGCTGCTTTATTCTTATCTTTGTACTCTAGAAGTTCTTGGCGACTAGTTTTGTTTGCTCTTTCGAACGCGCTATCAATGATGTTGTTATTGTATCCTCGAACAACTAGATGTTTACGTAGTTGTCCAAGTCTAGCATTTTGCGTATTTTCAGTAGAGCATATTCTCTTGATTCGCAATGCCTGGCTGAATGGGATGCCACGGGAGCAGTGTTTAGGATGGCAACTTTAAGGAGAAAGGAATTGATGTTTGTCCGTTTGTTTGGTATGAAGGTCCGTTATAATGGTTCCGTTCTTGATGTAACTCGTAGTGTCGAGGAAGTTTATTTTCTCCATAGATGATTCATATGTAAATTTTATTGAATGGTGGAAAGAGTTACAGTGTCCTAGAAATTCATTAAGGTTGTTCTTGTGAAGGGCTTCTATGGAGCACTAGCCAAGAGGCGTTTTTCAAGTTGGCCCATAAATATGTTGGCATATGACGGGGCCATTTTTGTGCCCATACTAGTACCGTCTATCTGGAGATCCACCAACTCCACACTTTAGAACCTGATGGTCTTAACGAAAAAGATGAGAAAAGATACAGGAAAGTTAAAGAATAATTTAGTACACAGCATCGTCCTTTTTATCCTGTAATATTGGCCAATGAACGTTGCTAACTTCAACTACCAATTTTGTAAAAATCTTGAACGTCATCCAAATTATGTATTATTTTCAAGGCAGCTAAATTCAAGTGCAACATATACATTGAGCAATAAAAGTTTCTTATCATCTACATCCGATTTCACCTGGATAGATGCACGCTTGATAAAGCTAGTTAGTCTAGCGAAATATTGCGTTTATTTTCATCATTTGGTAAATATTTTAAACATTCTTATATTTGCATACTAAATAGTGTGTTAAAATTACATTGTTAGGCAATCTATAATTTTTTTTTTTGTGTAATTGAATTAATCTCTGTACTGATTAATCCACACTCCCATAGATTTGTATGTCATGTGCTGCTATTTATAGGCACTTATATGTTCAAGATTTCTATAGTTTAATAATCAGAATAGATTGATCTGATTCATTTTACATCGTGCTCATACTGATGAAGGATATCTGTTATCCGAAATATTTATAGTTACATTCGTTCGTTTATATATATATATACACAAGTCTAAATTGAAAACAACGTTCAAACCTATAATTGCGTTGGATAAAAACCGAAATTTTTATACGTGTGCATGCAAAACAAATTTCTTGGTAGAGGGGTCTAAATACAACACAAACAACATTTTCCAAAAGACCAAAAAAGTGAAAAAGTATATTTTAACAAAATGCATTTGACTAGCAGGTCGAACAACGGATGTTCTTAAACCCTGCTAACTGCCATTGGCGATTGCCAAATAAACGGATCACCAGATGTAACAAAATGGATCTTAACTATTAATTTAATACCTAACAGAAAACAATAAACTTGCGGAAAAGATGGTATACCGCAAACAAAAGGTGCAAAAATTAGTACACCATATCCGGATTTCGACAATTAATGTCTCTTGAGTGATGTTAGGAATCGAAACGGTATTTGGAAGGCCATATAATTTACCTTAATTTAGGATAGACTCTTGAATTTTGAAGAGTCGAAAAAGGATGAACGGATCATATGAACCCGAAGGCAAATATAATACAAGCCCAAACGAAAAAATATAAACAAGTCTAAATTGAAAACAACGTTCAAACCTATGATTGCGTTGGATAAAAACCGCAATTTTTATACGTGTGCATGCAAAACAAATTTCTTGGTAGAGGGGTCTAAATACAACACAAACAACATTTTCCAAAAGACCAAAAAAGTGAAAAAGTATATTTAAAAAAAAAGCATTTGGCTAGTAGGTCGAACAACGGATGCTCTTAAACCCTGCTGACTGCCATTGGCGATTGCCAAATAAACGGATCACCAGATGTAACAAAATGGATCTTAACTATTAATTTAATACCAAACAGAAAACAATAAACTTGCGGAAAAGATGGTATACCGCAAACAAAAGGTGCAAAAATTAGTACACCATATCCGGATTTCGACAATTAATGTCTCTTCAGTGATGTTAGGAATCGAAACGGTATTTGGAAGGCCATATAATTTACCTCGATTTAGGATATATAATTATATATACATACAAAATTGTGAGTACTAGTGTATATATGTTTCATATATGGTATAGTATCAATAAGTGTCGTCAATTATACATGTATCTCTATAATTATATGCAGGATGTTATGTCCGGATATTTGTCACAATCAGTAATAATTGTATACGCAGTTAACTGCATCTGTATGGACTAAGTAACCCTTCACTAGATTTTATAATGCGTATTTTGTTGCATATTGTTTTATTTATTCATTTCGTGCATGCCAGACCAGGAAAATGTAAGTGGACTTTTATAACATGAATAATATTTTTCACAGTAAGCTAAGTCTATATGTAATCTATGTGTTTCTATTGGCTAGAACATGGTGCCACTTGGTTATCACACGTTTTCATAAAGTATGAAAACCGTTATCACTTTAAAGTACGTGTCAGTATTAATACATAGAAAACAATGGATCAGTTCATTATTTGAAATTACGCATTGGTCATATATCGTTATTATATATTTCTAATTTTGATTTACTATATTAATTCATGTTTGTAGTAAATTTCACTGTTCCATTTTGTAGATTTCCCCCCTACTTCTTAATCTTTTAATCCATCAATGAAATCTTCCTTATCTGTTTTCACCTTGATGTATGAAATGGATGTGAACAAAAGGAGACGTGGAGTATACGTCAATGAGAGATTCACACAACGACACATATAAACAAAGTCATCACAGGAGTATGAGACTTAAATGAAAATCGTCTTTCTGGCCTTAAAAATCCAAAATGGCAAAGTGATAAGAAAGGAAACACATGTCATACCAGGATTATTAGTGTAAATAACAACAGAGTTAACAACACAACATCGTATAATTCGATAAGTAAACAACAATCAATCAATCAACTGTCAAATACGTTCATATGTCCTAAGACATTATTTCCAGTTTTGTTCCAAATGGTTTTATTCGGCCTTCCAAGAGCTATAGAAGAAGAAGAAGAATATTTTATCCCAATTAAGGATCCCGAAGGGCATATACATTTGGCAGGATTCCTTTTGCGCCAATTACTGTTTTTCAGGGGTATCATTTGCGCCATTTTTTTTCCTTTTAAATGTATCAATTGCGCCAATATTCGGACCTCATTTGCGCCAATTTATAACCTGTACACATATTTCTATATAATCATACATATTAATGATAAATATATATTTGATGATAGTTCTTTGGTCCCTCTATCCGTATGAGCTGAAATCCCATCTACAATAAGACGTACCAATAATGGATCAGAGGCATTCCACAACAATTACGATGAATTACAATGAACTGTTTTATGGATCCCATCCTTCAATGTTTGTGTTTTTAGACAATATATTGAAGCTACAAGCTACTACATAAATTAATTTGCGAAGTACCCATGCAGCAGCAGTAAGAAGTACTTCAAAAGTATGAGAAATATGCAGAAGGAGAACTCAGACGCAGACACTTTGTGCGTGTAATGTTACAAATTCCAGCCTTTGATATAATATATATGTTGTCCGACTGTACATAATTTTATTTTTCAAAGTATTCTATTAAAAATGACTGAAAATAAACTACCGGTCCCAAGCCCGGATAAAGGAGGAGACAAGACAATTTTTCTTTTAATTTGCGCAATCGTATATTTTATTTTTGGCGCAAATGATACTATGTAATTTTAAAACAGGTGGCGCAAACGTAGCGTTGGATGAAAAAAGTTGTGGCGCAAAAGGACGCATTTTTGTGGCAAACGGATTTCTCCCGGGAGGACTATAAATTTAATTTAATTGAATGCTATTTCTGTTATTCTCAAATTATGTTATTATCATGTCAAATGTATGCCGTCCTCCCCGTGTCAGCAGCAAGTAAGATAGCAGTGTGGTATCCCAAATGCAGCTGAAATATATAATGGCAGTTATAACGGAAGAACGTGTTACAAGCAGTAGCATTATATACGGATATATATTTGATCCGCCGAATTATTTGATTTTGTCTTGGAACATTTGTTATGATTTAAAATGATTGGCTAGCATTTTCACTCCATATTTGAATTGGCTTTTAGTTGGTTGTGTGTATGAAGGCAAACACTATAAAGTTGGTGAAAAGATAAACGACTACGGAAATTATGGACTTCAGTGTGGAAAATGGGGGATAACAGCTTGGGAGAATTACCAAGGTATTTCTTTTTATCCTGCAACCAGCCAACTTTTGTTCATATAACAGGTACACAAATAGTTTTTTTCTCTCTTTTTGTACTTGCATTCAATTTCATCTCCTGTCTATACCCCCACTTCCATGTTGACCCAGCGGTAATACGGGTATTTCTTGTTGCATAACAGTTCATTTTGGGGTCCTCTTCGCGGTCCGCGTTTAAACTATGTCGGTTTTTAAAGATTACGATTATAACACAATGTTGACTGCTGTACCCCAATTTTTGACATTTTTACCTATTATATCTGTTTGTTTTGCTCACACATTGTTGTCAATATAATGGAATTATATTCGACTGTAATACAAGTGAGAGGTTTAGCTAGCTATAAAACCTGTTTAATCCACCATTTTCTACATAAGGAAATGCCTGTACCAAGTCAGGAATATGACAGTTGTTTTCCATTCGTTTGATGTGTTTAAGCTTTTGATTTTGCCATTTGATAAAGGATTTTGAATTTTCCTTTGAGTTCGGTATTTTTGTTATTTTACTTTTTTTTTTGAAAAATCAGAGACAATACAGCCAATTGTTACACTTATTTGTCCTATTTGTTTGGTACAGTCATTTTTCTTTTATTTGTCTTTGTTTGCATGACACAGTCAAATGTTTTATTATTATTTGGCCTGCTTGTATGGAACATTAAAAATTGTAGGAAAAAGGTAAAAAAAGTACATAAAACTGACAAAAAGGAGAAGATATTATCATCGCTTACTGTCAGACAGTCTTCTTTAACATGATATTTGGTAAAGATTTAAGATATTTGAAAAAGAGTTGTAGGTTCATTCTCACAGAGACAGTTGCCCTACAAAGCAAAGCATCTATAAGTTTTTTTTTAAAAAGTATAAAGAAATAATTTAAGAATATTTTTTTCATTTTTCATTTACTTTCAAGTAACCTGCATGTTGAAAAGGATTTAAATGGTTGATAATGTGTAATGCATCAAACTATTTGTTTGAAGTTTGTTGGAGTTAAATATTAAGTTCATTGTGACTTTTAAACCTTTTATATTAAAGACGAATTACAGAAGCAAAAGACAACGAAGCTCTCAACATCATCAACAGAACCAACGACAACCAAAGAAGAAGGTGAGGTACTTAAATAAACTACACACAACAAAAGGGTAGGGCCAATGTTCTCCGATTTTATTTCCAACCAGCACGGTCGGTAAGGTTGTCCGGCGAGAGAATTGTCTGTGTCTTCTGTAAACAAAAACGAAAATAGAGATTTTTTTAACGGTTACTTGGATAACAGATGAAAGGATATGGGTGAGATGTTTAGATAGTGTTGCTGTCCATGACGTTAAAATACTAAATCCCTGGGATGTGTTTTAGTTGATTTTAGTCTCTGATACATGATTTTTTTATTATTAATTGTTTTTGGCTTTTAACTAGCTGTCAGTAACTGCGAGTACTCTCAAATCGTACTTTTTTGTTTATGACCTGTTGATACTAATTGTAATGCTTTTTTGTTATTTAATGTTATTCAGGGTTATATCTGGTCTATATACCAGCTTTGATAAGTGTTTGGTATTACTATAAATTTTCACTTCTTCGTACTATGAACATCAAAATTATTTATTTTGTAAAAATATTTCCTTTCTCTGTTTGAACTGTACACGTATACCTAACAACAAAATTATATTTATTTACCTGTGTTTAAAGTATTTGCAAATGGCTGATATTTTTGTTCAATCATATTGTTTTTCTTAAATTGTTTATCCTTTCACAGCGATATAACATGTTACTTTAATTATTCTTCCCTTAGTTTATTTATTTTGTATTTGCATTGTATCATAGATCAAACTTATTTGTTCAGTGTATGTTCACTGGTGTTAATATGTCTTTTGGTTGAGTTAAGCCATTTCAATTGATATTTTATAGTGTGCTTTTCTATGTTGTGATGTTACACTATTGTTTCAGATAAGGGTGAAGGTTTGGTACCATTAAAACTTTTAAACCCGCTGCAATCGTTTGCACCTGTCCTAAGTCAGGAATCCGATGTTCAGTAGTTGTCGTTTGTTGATGTGGTTCATAAGTGTTTCTCGTTTCTCGTTTTTTATATAGATTAGACCGTTGGTTTTCCCGTTTGAATGGTTTTACACTAGTAATTTTTGGGGCCATTTATAGCTTGCTGTTCGGTGTGAGCAAAGCTCCGTGTTGAAGACCGTACTTTGACCTATAATGGTTTACTTTTATAAATTGTGACTTGGATGGAGAGTTGTCTCATTGGCACTCATACCACATCTTCTTATTTCTATTAAAAGAATAGGCCATCTATGCTGTTGCAGGTATGCATATCAAAATGTGCTCATTTTAGAACATCTACTAATGAAGCAATGAAGATATAGAATGTTTAATGTTTGTAACAACAAAGATTCTGTTTCCTCCACTTTTTTAGGGGGGGTCTACAGGATTTTTTTATAAATCGACCGACACTTTCAAATTCTACCATCAAGACCAAATTATGCAAACAACAAAACATTAAAATATGGCAAGAGTACAATCATGATAGAGGTTCTTCACTTGGGACAGGTAAGCTAATAAGTGTCTTATGTTGTTGTTTTTTTTGTGTCAGCTGTCTACCTGCAAATATCCCATATCTTTTATTCATAAAAATCATTATATACTTGTAGACATGTGTATATATGAAAACAGGTCATACAGAGTTGGTTCTCTTATAAAATACTATGGAACATATGGACTTGCATGTGGATACTGGGGTATCTATGCATATAACAGCAAGAAAGGTACACTCTGACGCAATATTTAGTATATTTTTTGTATTTCCTACGTTAAATTAAATCTGCATTCTAATATCTAACGCTCAGGATAAAATTCGAATATCACGGCCCGGCTTTGGCTTCTTTTTGTCCTTTTTGGTCTATTATACGCTCTGCATTTTCAAACGAGTTTTGGATTTTCAAATATTTAGGCCTCGAGCATCACTGAAGAGACATTAATTGTCGAAATGGTGTAGAACGAGACGACTCTCTTCCAGAGACTAAATGACGTAGAATTTAACAACTAAAGGTCACCGTATGGCTTTCAACAATGAGCAAAATCTATACCGCATAGTAAGCTATAAGAGGCAAAGAAATGATAATGTAAAAAAAATCAAACGAGAAAACTAACAGCCTGACTTATGTTCAAAACAAAAAACGAAAAACAAATATATTAAGTATACAGCAACAAAGGACAATCGTTGCATTATGTATACAGGCCCCTGACTTGTGACATGCAGGCAAATACAGAATTTGGCTGGATTAAACTTGTTAAAATTAACCTTTTAATTTCAAGATAGAGATTAAGATATAGTTTATACCATACAAAAAAAAAACATATAGATAGTAACAATTTGTAAATATATCAGATCTGCTGATTACTTCATCTTTAACCATTTACAATGCATGTGTGAAATACACACAATAATTAGAATACCTTACAACTTTTCGTCTCATTTTTACGTAATATATTTCCAATGTTATTTATGCATTTTAAATGGAGTATTAACAAAATGCATATGGGTGTTTGTTTAAGCATAGTATAGGGACGAGTGCCAAATTTTCTGGGAAGGGGGTGTAAGAACAGTTCTGTTCTTCACAATGACAGTCGTCAGAACTTCTTCCTCGATGAGGTACAGAAGGCACGCCTGACTATGACGGCAAGGTCAACACTACTCTATATCTATTGTGTTGAAAGGTTGCTGTCCTATTTGGGTATATCCACACAAATCCCATTGTTATCTTAAATGTTAACCGATAATTTAAAAATGTTTTTTTAATCAGACCAATATACGAACGAAGTTATCATAATTTTGTCATGCTACTCTATTAGTCTACAACTCATATGCCATAAGAATTCGCATGACTTTCACATAGCGAATTTCATGAGCGGTGCAGTTGGCTTTTTAGTATAGTCCTATGAAAGTTATTAGTTTTTTATCTGACTTAGCGTGACGGACGTCTTGTTTATATTTTTTCTTTGAAGTGTTTAATATTACTAATAATAAGGTAGCTTTTAGGTCCAGCAAGGGCCGTACCAGCTTGTTTTACAATTATATTTTATAAACAAATGATGACTTAAACTACAGATATTATAGAAAATAAGCATTTTCTCCAGTGGAAGTAATAAAACCCATTTGGTATAAAATAGACGAAATAGTTTGAAAACAACAAAGGATTAATAATGTTAATCGTCTGATGTAGATATATGTGATCAAAGTTATTCATTCAAATTGGTTGCCAGTATCTCTTTATGAGTCATTAAACATGATAATAGCGAAAATAAAGCTTTAAGGACATGAAAACTGCTATCATTTATTAAATTTTCGACAAATAGTTTAACGACCATGCATTGAAATTCCCCCAAAAGACATACTGGTGTCGTCCTATTCTTATTATCTGCGGCATCCTTTTGGTTCATTGTTCTTTGTATTGGTAACATTAATATAAAAAATAAGGAGATGTGGTATGATTGTCGATTAAACAACTATCCACTAGAGACCAAAGGACGAGGATGTAAACAACTATAGGTCACTGAACGGCCTTTAACAATGAGCAAAACCCACACCGCATAGTTAGATATAAAAAGGTCTTCCGAAACGATTAACTGTAAAACCCTTCAAAAGAGAAAACCACTGGCCAAATTTATGCTATAACAATAAAAGAAAAACAATTATGACGGACAACAACCAACGACTACCACTGTGAGTGACACACAAGGAATTCGGTAGGGTTAAATATGCTTGTGCATGAGCGCTCAACATTCGCCTATCCTAGGACAGTTGTGTAACAACACAACATATATAATAACAAATGATAGAATTTAAGTGGAAAGGGTTGACTCATCAGCACCAAACGACAAACACAAAAATTTAAGAAAGAGAAAAAAACCCACAAATTTACGATACAAGAGTACTAACAGTCATTGAAAGCGATTTCAAAGAAGCCAATTACAACTAATAAATAAATCATGTTCTCCCAGACTACAATATCAATCAGTACATATCAAACGTCAAACGGATTTAGTGTAAAGACTTCATAAACAGTCTGGGGATATCATGACCTTGTGCAATGCTAAAATACAAGTATCGACAGGATGAAGGACCATAAATGATATAAAGGCAACAGTAGTATACCGCTGTTCAATAGTCATAAATCGATTAAGCGAATAACTGTATATATATAGCAATACATATATATAGTTGTGTTTTAAATTCATTATAATCAAAATAAATTTTAGTACCGATATAAGCAATATTCAATGATCTTACAATAGTGTTGAATTGATAACCCTTCAGAAAAAAGCTAAATTTATATCATATGAACATAGACATATAATACAATTTTTAATACATATTATATGTCTCTGGTATGAATAAAATGACAGAAGAGAGGCAAATAACACCAAAGGGACATTCAAACTCATCGAAAATAAACTGACAACGCCATGGAAAAAAAGAAAGAAAAAAGACCAACAGACAAACAACACAACGTACTAAGAAAGCTGGACTTTGTTAATACTTTTAACAAAAATTAAGATTGATTGATTGTTTGGTGCTTAACCTCGATCGAATGGGAATACCCCCATTTGAGTATTATTTACCGTTGTCTTGACTGTATAGTGTTGCTCTCCACCTATTTTATCATCTATATAAAATCTGAAAAAAAACCTTTAATTAATATTCACCGAGCTAACCAACAAGATCTTCGCTAGCCAAGGGTTACGATCCATTTCCCTCCTCTGTGGAGAGGAGGGAAGTGGATCGTAAACCTTGGCTAGCGAAGATGAACCAACACGTGCAAACCTAAAGAAAGGTTAACACTTGATATGCACTGTACATAACGTCATATGCTTTAATTTGTATAATTGTAATGAAATGTTTGATGTACAATTAGTTTTGGTATAAAGTTGTTATTAAATATTATTTTCTAGAAATTTTGAATAAAACAATAACTGTCTTTTGTTTCTGTAATTACAGGGCTTAAGTAACTTTTGCAAGAAAAACTAATTCTCACTTCCAACGTTAGCCTCAGTGAATATAAGTTTTTTCAAAAGTCAATAAAACTTATATTTACCTTATCAAAAGACAGTTAGTGTATAATAAGAAAGGTAGCTCGTCAATGTAATATGCTTGACATACATGTTGAATTGGATTTTAAAAAGCAACATTACGCTGGAAGTCAATCATGACACCAGGACACACGACTCTCACCCCGAACCGTCCAGTCTTTGTTCTTACTAGTAAATACTGCATATTTAGCACAAAAACACTAAGTACATATTTTAAAGTCCCAGTAGTCGTTTCGTCGAGACCGACGAAGTGGTTGTTTCGAACTCTCTCCTAGAGAGATAAAAGTATGAACATAAAGAGATGCAGGGGTATACTTCAATGAGACAGCAACCAAACAAAACAAAAACACAAGAGATATAGAGGAAAACATAGTCTTCAACAACAGACAGATGTTTATACTATATGTCAAGCTCTACGTTGTCAAGAGTGGATATCAAAATAAAATGAAAAGATGTGGTATGATAACCAATGATACAACTATCCAACAGAGTCAAAATAACGAGGATTTAAGCAATTAGAGATCACCGCACGGTCTTCAAAAATGGGCAAACTCCATTCCGTATAGTCAGCTATAAAAGGCCACAACGTGACAAAAGAAACAAATCCGCTGAAACGAAAAAAAAAAACCAAACAAACGGCCCGATTTATGACAAATATAACAGATATAACAGACAACAAACAACGACAACCACTTAATTACAGACTCCTGATTTGGAACCGGCACAAAATGAATGTGGTGGGGCTCAACCCTCGTCCTTACATGAAACTGTCAATTTCCCCCAAAACGATAAAAAAAGTTAGACATGATATGACAAATAAACTCATCATAGATACCAGGATTAAAATTTTGTATACCAAATGCACGTTTCGTCTACAAAAGACTCATCAGTGACGCTTGAATAAAAAACGTTAAAAAGGCCAAATAAAGTACGATATTGAAGAGCATTGAGTACCCAAAAGACAGTTACTAACAAGGGTTTTGACTTGGGACAGGCACGTGAACCTATGGTTGTGTTAAAATTTTTGATTTTTGATTTATTTCAGACTTCCTCATTTTAACCTCGACCAATTGAATGTTATTTGGTCAGATGGGCATATTAAAGAACATACAATAAAAATAAGTACGGGGGGAAAATCCCTCTAATTGCCATTTCATTTACGAATGGTGGCCAATATTAATAGTGCTTGTATTTGAACATGATTAATGATTTACAATCGAGAGCACATCCTGAACTATTTTTTAACGGAAAAAAACTTTACGAAAATTGATACCTATGAGTATGAATTGTTTTGTTTCCATCGTTTTTAATTATTTGTTTCTTTGGCCCACAAACAAATTTCAAGCAGGGTCCTATCTGACATGTTTTTCTAGTACTAGTATCTATGACTTTCCAGAGCTTGTGTTTTCTACCAGGATTTTTTGACAGAGCGGATTTATACTCGTCTTTAGCAATACGAAGTTGGCAACTAGTGTTTTAAAACTACTTGTGTGTCTGGATCTCGAGTACCTATAGATAAGTTCACCCACCTCTCGGTTGGGTTTGTGCTGCTCAATAATTATTTTTCAGTATGGAGTTTATGCACTGTTGGTTTCCTTTCCATCTTTATTTTCTTTAGTTATGGTATTGGCTATCCCTTTTCCGTTTATAATTTTTGGATAATTGTCTCAAATACATCTTAGAATAAATATATTAATGAACTGATGACTTGTTTATTATTTCAGATATTAACTGGTAGCTTTTGAGCACTTTTATAATACTGGTTTACAGATTGTCTAAAGAACGCTCTCGATTCAACGACTATTTCTATTGTTAATTTTGTGTATCTTAATAAAGCCTCTTCTGACTTCAGTGTTTATTGGAAGCAATAGTTTTCGCCGACTTCACAACATCATCAGTCACGTGGGCTCATCATCAGTTGGGCTTTTTTGTATTTTCATCTTTAAAAATAAAGACAAACTAAATTAAATTTATGCTTCTATAATAACGGTACAAATTCTTTCACACAGTTGTATGTTCGTAGTCTCCCTTATAGCTGTCAAAATACCTATTAAACAGGGTTCTTCTATAAAAACTTCAATAAATCACTTGTTCATGCATTTCATTTTTTTTTAATTTAGGACATTGAATAATTTTTACCCTTTAAGCATAAAGTAAACCCGATTGGAATGAGATACAAGTTTTTTAACACTATAAACATCAAGTATACTGTTAGAATGTGAAACCAGCACGTTCTTACACCGCAAACATCAAGTTTACTCTCGTCCTGAATATGCATGAAATATTTGCCACTGGACGTTAAGCAACCAACAATCAATCAAGTTTACTGTTAAGAGTGTGAAACCAGCACGTTCTTACACCGTAAACATCAAGTATACTGTTAGAATGTGGAACCAGCACGTTCATACACCGCAAACATCAAGTATACTGTTAGAGTGTGAAACCAGCACGTTCTTACGCCGCAAACATCAAGTATACTGTTAGAGTGTGAAACCAGCACGTTCTTACACCGCAAACATCAAGTATACTGTTAGAGTGTGAAACCATAGTTCTTAAACCGCAAACATCAAGTATACTGTTAGAATGTGAAACCAGTAATATTCTGGGTTTACGTAATAAGATTCCTATGTGTTTTTTTCTCTCGATATAAATAATGAAAGCAGGCCAATATGACTGTATTTGCACGTTTATTGATAAACACAGTTCAATAAATAATTAAAATAACATAACCAAATGATGCTCCTAATAACTTTGAATCAGTATGTTTTTACCTTAATCGAACGGTTACTTTTGATTGTGCTCAACTTCACCAGCTATCTTGGACGAAAATGGGTCTGTAACTGTTGTTGCAATCATCTCGACTTTTGTCAGCATTTTTACTTGAATAACTCAACGGTACCAACATGTGAGACCAAATTTGCGATATATATTTTTGGGGACTTCTGAACTTTTTGCCGTTTGTGTGTACCTTCTTATAACTTATTATATATGTTTTCATAAAACAGCAAAATCTTTTATCTTTTATCTTTTGACATCAGTTTCTTTCAGAGCTCGTTAAGAATTTACTAATGACAAACTAGAATTAAACGAGATATGGGGTTGTAATATGAGCAGCCACTCTGTCAAGGTTCAGAAACCTGACCTTTATAAAAGCTTTAGGAGTACGGGAATCAAAACAATCAATCACAGATTAGCAAATAAACAATGGAACACTTTCGTATCATCATTTCAGAAATAAGAATATGCCGTTTATATAATTATGCCCCTCAAACTATATACTGAATGTATAGATTATATCTTGGACTTAATATATTTAGTATACTTTTCCCAGATTATATACAATATTGTGGTTCAAATGCCAGGTTATATATTGGGTAACCTATATAGGTCTACGAATATTTGAGTTTTGAAATGAAACAGATGGTTTGAAAAGCTGAATGCTAAATATTATGTGGACACCGGGTCACAATTAACTAATATGTGTTGTGTTTTATTTACATTGGGACCTTTCTTGAAAAAAAATACAATTTACTGCAATTAATGTCCCAAAAGAGAAAAAAAACCACCACCTTATAAATAGCAAACAAAATGGATCTAATAGAAAGGTCCCAAATAAACCTGTCAAAATGTAGTGTCACGATTAATTAATGAATATTATTTCATGCAGTCATTAATTAATAAACAAATTGCAAGGAAGGACTGAAAGGCGCATATGTAATTATAATGTACATTTTAATGTTGTCACGTTTTTTATGTCATCTCCAAATTTAGGACATAACATTTTAGTTCAATTTGTTGTGGATTTCAACATCTTTTGACCAAACAGGTTGAACGGGTGAGTCTATATTTTCAATATTCAGTGCTATAAATTAATATTTTTGCATTAAAAAAATGTCATTGACAGCATATTCCATACAAGTCTCAGTGACATCCATACATAACTAAATAAAAAAAACTGATCACAGCCGTGTTGAAAAAGAATTTCATATACAGTAATATGACAAAAACCATCTAACTCTCTTTTTAAATTTTGTGAAATCACGCTTTCTTAAAAATAAAATTAATTCAAAGCCCTTGCGAAATAATTTAAGATATACCACGACTTCATAGTTTTCATAGTTTTTATCTGACGAATGTGTCGCATAATATTAATTACTTTATTTTAATTAAACATGTAACGTACAAGCTGTACATTGTAATACATTCAAACATTTTACATAAAATATAAAAATAAAATGTGATATTGTTGCCAATGAGACAACTATATATTCACTTGTTAGTCTAGATTGGGTATTAGCCAAAACATTTCTTTTATACATTGTATTGATACAGAAAACAATTTGTCTGTTTAATTGAATTAATTTTTTTATATAACAGGAAAAACAACAAAGAACAGTTGGAATGTTATTTGTTTTCTTCACCTCTTTCTGTGTTGTCAGTAAGTTAATGCTTTATCTTCAATACAATGATCTCAGTACAAGATACTGACTTCCAATAGTTTCAGGAGTGGGATTTCAAGTTTGAACTTTCCGAGAAAACATACAATTTTGAACTCTTTTTATAACATATGCAACCGACCAGGGAAATGTCCAACTCACTCCCCAGATGAGGAACCTTTAACCAGTATTGTTACTATGAGAACTGATATTTTTCGGCATTAATTACAAGGATTTTACAGGTTGGGGATACCGAAAATTAAAAAAAGGAAATTAAAAATCGGAAACCAGAGATCAATTTATACGAATGGAAGCAACTAAGCACTAAGCAGGATCAAAGAGAAACAAAAATGGACATACACTTGCGGAGACAATATATAGACATGGAACTAAAGCTATTTGAAAATACAACAAACTCAGGGGGACAGACATAAACGAGACAGTAAATGTATAACCCAACAAAACAATTTAATCATAGCATAGAGGTCACCATGTGGCCTTTCACAATGGACAGGAAACTTCAAAATCGCTCCGGATCTTAACATTGTTTTAATACTGGTATACATATCTGTATTTGTCTCTGTTGGTAGTCTTGACCTCAAACCAACAGCAAGAGTCAATATTTGGTATAGTTTACTTCACATTTCCTTTAATTACAAAAAGACGATAGAATATAATTGCCATGATTTTTCCTTTGTTTTTCGTTCATGTGTGTACGTCTGTTTGATTGATGTGGTCTGTTGAACTGCCCATTGTTTTGGTGATATTCTTATACTTTTTGTGTATACTATCTAAATATTATAATTAGAATACTAGAATGTTTAGGGTACACACCAATGAGACTGCAACCCAACAACGTAACAATGAATTATCAAGATGTCAACATACGATATTCAACAATATCATGTATCTGTTTCCATCTGTATCAGAAAATTGTTGCGAGGTTAAATAAACTAGCTTTTTGAGTGTTAAATCCTCCCCTGCCTAGCACAGGAACACATGGGCATGTTATAAATTTACATGTAATCCTTGTATTGTTTTAGATGTATTTGCTTTGGTGCCAATTCCCCTGGAACCACAAACGCCATGCTTTACACATTTTGGAGAGTGTCTTAGATATTGCCCAGGAGAGAGAATTCCAGACTTAGAGGGCATAGAGAGTTCATGTATTACAAACTCTGCAGGTTACCAGTTCTGTAAATTTTATCATTGCCCACCTGCAAAATGTCGAGGAAAAAAGAAGGATCTATACGGGAAATGCTACTACTGTCCGGGTAAGTTATAATAAAGGAACGACAAATCATACTTCTGTCGAAGTAAACCTGTTGAACCAAGGCAAATACTACTACCGAGGTAAAGCACCGGCAATTTATCTGTGTGTGTGTGTGTGTGTGTGGAGGGGGGAAAGGTTGCATGTTTTTTTTAAATAAATTCTTTTATTATAAATTTCTTGGAGGAACGGATAATGCTACTTCTGGCCAAGCAAGTCTTGTATACGAGGGAACGCGTAATGCGACATATCTATCTTAATCTTTAATACGGAGACTGGAGAATGCTACTTCTGTCCAGGTAAGTCTTTAATACAAAGGAACGGAGAACGCTACTTTTGTCCTGGTAAGTCTTCAATACGAAGACCGGAGAATCCTACTTCTGTTCAGCTGAGTCTTCAATACGAAGGAACGGAGAATGCGATTTCTGTCCAATCAAGTCTTTTTAGCAAGGGAAAGGAGAGTGCTTCTTCTATCCAAGTAAGTCTTCAATACGAAGACCGGAGAATGCTACTTCTGTTCAGGTAAGTCTCCAATACGAAGACAGGAAAATTCTACTTCTTTTCAGGTAAGTCTTCAATACGAAGGAACGGAGAATGCTACTTTTGTCCAATCAAGTCTTTTATACAGAGGAAGGGAGAATGGCACTGCTGTCCAGGTAAGTCTTTTAAACAAAGGAACGGAGACTGCTTCTGTCTAGTTAAGTCTTTATACATAGGAAGGGAGAATGCTACTTCTGTCTAAAACCATACCACATATTAATTTACTGACTATGTATCGTCTGAAGAACTAATTTTGCTTTATTTTAGGTACCTGTATTGTAAGCTCAATAAATTGCTTTATTTTAGGTAACTGTAATGTATGCTGAATTGAAATTGCTTTATTTTAGGCAACTGTATTGTTTGTTGAATAAACATGTGTACACAGGATGTTAATTTCACCTGATGGCTTTTGATTTGACACGAAACCTTTACATTTCCTGACAATTTGTTGTTATGTAACATTATATAACTTAAATCTGAGTTAACCTGTTCGTCACATTATATATGTTGGTCATAGAAACTTTAAAGGGATATTTACTTTCATAGGCACAGAACATTTATCTATTGTTGTGCATGTTTGTTAGTTTTTTCTCTCGAGACGAAAATGTGGTTTTTTTTTAAAAAGAATATATTATTTTTATATATAAGATAAATTATACAGAAAAAAGGGAAAAAATCTTTAAAATAATGAAAAATATCTTTCTTGCAAATTTCAGTGGTAACTATCACTTCACACTTGAAATAATTTACTTTTTATCAAGAAATTTAGAAATCAAACATATCAGAATATCAACGAACAGAAACAGTACAAATTCTGCATGAAAATTACAAGATGTATAAAAATAAATACGACACTTCCAATCACATCCGCCATTATGAAAAATCCCGAAAAATTAACTTTTTTAAATCGATGTGGGACGTAATTTCCCCTCGATTTAAACTGTTTTAAGTAGAATATTTCGCCAGTTATATGTTTTAATATTCTCAATCGAGTTGCAAAGTATTACTCAGTTTATTTACGGAATTTGTGAATTTGATGTACAAGTAGACATGGGGTCGTTAGATATACCATTGTGTCAACGGGGAAATGGCGAGAAAAAGTACGATTTTTACGAATCTCCAGGGACGTAATTTAATTAAAAATCAAAATGTCAGAACCAACATTTTAGGCAGAATTATGTTCGAATACCAAGGATATAGTTGCAAAAGTTAGAAAACGGGTAAGATTAATGAGAACATTGAACTTTATTGAAACACCTATGCATTTTATATGGGACAAAATGACACTGAATGGCGGCTCGCTACGTCACCAAAGTCACGTAATGTCTTACTTAGTTGGATATGCCCTAAAAGATTGATACAACTTTTTAATTACTGAACATTTGTGTTGTATTGATGGTATTCTTATTATATAGGAGAGATTTTTCTTACCGACGCCAGGCGTCTCCATCTTGGGCTGTTATCAACTGACTTAAGTTAAGTTACCCACAGTCGTTTAAGCACAGTGCCTATTGTTTATTTTTCTTTTTTAGACGGTGATGTGAAGTTCGTCTGGCACTTATATATCCCAACTCGTTCGCCATGCCCGTGTCTGTAGTGACGTTTTAAATTTCAATGAGCGTATTCTATGTATTACTAAATTCTTCCATATATACAGATATTTGGTTTGCAAGTTTGGCTGTACCTGTAAAAAACTTATTTCAGACGGAATAGCTCATCATAAATTTTACGGTGATATTGGGTAACGAGCCTGGAAATTTGTATACGATCCGGGTAATCTTATCAATCCTTTAAATAAACTTATTCTAAAAGGTTACCATTTCAATACTGTGATTAGATCTTTGAATATTGTTCATTAGTTGTTATTGGCTTTGAACTAGCTGTCAGTAACTGCGAGTACTGTCAGATCTGTACTTAGTGTCTTTTTTGTTGTTAGGGATGAGGGATGAATAAATACCCTGCCACGTCCGGTCTGTGTTTTTGTGAGATGTTTTTCTGCTCTACAAGTTAAGCCATTTTCAGCTGATTTTTATAGTTTGTTCTTATGTTGATCTGTAACACCACTGTCCCAGGTTAGGGGAAGGGTTGAGCGCTCATAAAAACATGTTTGACCCCGACAAACTCTTCATGTGCCTGCCCCAAGTCAGGAGCCTGTAGTTCAGTGGTTGTCGTTGGTTCATGTCTGTCATATTTGTTTTTTGTAAATTGTTTTGTAATAAATTAGGCTGTTAGTTTTCTCGATTGAATTGTTTCATATTTTTCATGTCGGGGCCCTTTATAGCAGACTATGCGGCATGGGGTTTTCCCATTGTTGAAGGCCGTACGGTTGCCTATAATTGCTTACATCCATTTCATTTGAACTTTGGTGGATAGTTGTCTCATTGGCAATCATACCACATCTCCTTGTTTTTATATTGGCCACAATCATTCTTGGGGTGTCTAGTTTTGCATTTATGTCAGATGATCCCGTCTGCCTACAATATGGCTAAAAATAGAACATAGGGATAAAATGCATTTATTTCTATTATCTTGAAATCTGCTAAAGATAGAGAACATGGGCAGAAATGTTTAGAATCTTGAGGACTACCTACTGTCTATTTGCATCAAAACTGTCAGACGACTTCTCTTAGGACTTATAGGCCTTAAATGATACATTTTACCTATTATCTTGAAAACTAACATAATTAGAGAAAAACTTTGAATAGCAGAAATGATCAACAAAACAAGATGTACAAATAATCTTACATGGCCGAAATCATTAGTCGATTGTTTATAGGAATTATTGTCCTTAATTGACGATATTCGCAATTTTCTTTTTACTCTTTTTGTGCTATTGCCTTGAAAACTTTTATATAGATAGAAATTTGAATAGCAAAAATGATCAGCAGGACAAGATATACAAATGAGTCAACATGGCTTATAGAAGTTATTGCCCTTTAATAATAACAATTTTTATCATTATGTATTGTGTAGGGGACTACTATCTTGACAACTTTTATAGATAGATAGAAACTTTAAAAGCAAAACTGATCCGCAATAAAAGATCTGCAGATAGGTCAGCTGATGTTTGTCCTCTGTTTGGTGTTATTGTCCTTTAATGACGAGATTTAATCTTTTTGTGCTTTGGGAAAAAAACTATAGCAGATAGAGAAAAAATGTAAACAGAAAAATTAATGATCAGCAATACAAGACCAACAAAAATGAAATTTAAGTCGTGAATAATATTCTGATCTACAATGTTGGACAGTGTCCATTGTTGAAGATGGACATAGACCTAGATGAGCGACGTGACAAGCTCTTTTGAATCTCTAGTTTAGTTGACTGATTTTGTATGGTCTGATGAATTGATATTATTTTTTAGGTAGCTGTGTCGATGGTGGTAGGAAACATCATAATGGAGAAGCTTTTCTCAGTTTTGATTTGGTTAATAATTGTTTTTGTGGACAAGATAATTCAAAACACTGCACTAAACATCCAGTTGACCAGTATTCCTACTGTAATCATGCGAGACCTGGTAGTGATGGCGACCATAATACAGTTGTAGTGGTAGAAAATCCTCGACCACCACCACCACCTGCAAAAATTGTTGCATTTGTACCTCCACCACAGCAGCAGCAAACCCCAGCGGCAATGGCTTTTGTACCAGCACCCACACAACCACCAACTCCACGACAAATGGCATATGTATCGCCTCCCTCCCGACCACAAACTCCACCACAAATGGCATATGTACCGGCACCCACCGGACCACCAACTTCACCAAAAATGTCATATGTACCGGCACCCACCCGACCACCAACTCCAACACAAATGGCATATGTACCAGCTCCAACACAATCATACGTTCCTCCTGGTGATGCCTTTGTTCCAGCGGCTAATAATAAGGAATCGACAGCTTATATGAAGCAACCTCCATCAAATCCACAACATCAGTACCAAAAAATGGTTGCACACCCTAATTTCTCAGCAAAAAGCCCAAAATCTAATTTGCAGCAACGATCCAACAACAATCCAAACATTTACAGAAATAATCAGTATTTCCAAGGTTTTCCAAACAATCCACATTTTCCAAGTTATTATGGTAATCCTTATTTTCAACAACAGATGTGGGGATTCAATGGTTTTAATAAGGAAATCGAAGCGTAAATGTCAGTCATTCTAACAAGTGCTTCGACTTTTACTCCTGCCATCAAACAACTGAAATCTGTCCAAAGAACAGAAGTTGTAAAAAATATATAAACAATTCTCATGGATATTTTAGTGTTTCTTCTTATGCGGAAAAATCTTCGAGCAAATAACATCTGCTTTGTTCAATCAGTTGAGTTGTCACGCGTGAGGACAATAAAGTTAAAACAAATGATTTCGGATTGTATGTAGTTTGAATTATTATATTAAATAATTTTGTATTAATGGTGATATTTATTTCTGAATTTGAAGTTTATACATACGGATTAACACAATACGTATAAGAACATTGATATTCTCCCATACACATTTTTGTCTACCATGTTCATGTTCAAGATGGTTTTATCTGTCCTTATTTTCTGGGAGTTTGACTGATGTACATTACAATAATTAGATGTGGTATAACTGCTAATGAGTCAACTATTCACCAACGGTCTGGTAAAGGATGAGAGTTCATTGACAGACCGTTAGAAGGGTCATAAATGGCGCGATAAAAACATAATGGGGGAAAAGCAGGAGATACAAATAACAAGCTATCATTGATTTTGTTTTTGATAAATTAAAACATAACTAAATATGTATTGCTATAGTTATGAAAACTTACCGTCCCACATCCTGTGGATACTATGTACTGATATCTTAGTATTGCGCAAGGTTGTGATTTTCTCAAACTTTTTATGACGACTTTAAACTAAATTCGTTGAATGTGTACTGAATTATTCCTTAGTCTGGGAAAAACATGATTTATTCATAAGTTGTGATTGGCTTTAAACTAGCCTTCATTAGTAACTGCAAATACTCATAGATCGGCATTTTGTCTTTTGTCTATATGTTAGTTTTTTTTTTTGTACTTCGTCTCTGACGGGTCAAGCCATTTTCGACTGTTACAGTTTTTGTTTCAGTGGATGTCGTTTGTTGCTGTCGGTTTATACGTTTTTCGTTTGTTTGTTCATCATAAAAGAGGCTGTTCGTTTGAAATTTGGAATATTTTGTCATCTCCGTTTTTATAATAGCTGACTATACGGTATAGGTTTTGCCCATTGTTGAAGGCCGTACGGTGACCTACAGTTGCTTACATCCACGTCATTCAAACTCTATCAACAATTCCATAAACACTTAAACTAGCTTGAGACAGTACGTAACAAAACCAATTCAACAACCTGTAAAATTGATTCTCGGGGTTTTCAACGACGGAGTATGTGTGAATATTCAGCTTTAGGAATAATCAGTTAAACATTTTGCTTCTACGTCTACAAATCGTGTTAATCATGTCCACATTAAAACTTTTTACTCTTAATTGTATTGCCGTTTTCCTCTCGTAATAAGAATAAGCAACATATGGCTCAGACTTGTATCATGGTATGAATAGTGATTAGGGTTTTCCACAAATATCAAGACTTATAGTTACATGCTGTTAAAAACTTTTTTAAATGACATGCACTGAATAACCAGCTGATGCTTAACTTTTGTCGGATTGTATTTATTTACTAGTAAAATATATATGTGAGAGTCAAATCTATGTCCTGCCTCAAATCTGTCCTTTCCTCAGATGTGTGTCCTATTCTTTATATTGCACCATAGACGTTTCTCAAATCTGTGTCCTGTTTTTTATAGGACCATAGACGTTTCTCAAATCTGTGTCCTATTCTTTATATTGCACCATAGACGTTTCTCAAATCTGTGTCCTGTTCAACAAGTCCTATTCTATGCTTTGACGTCAAAATTATCGAATACTAATCAATACGACTTTTATATTCGAATTAGAATTTGAATCTGTAAAGGACATTAAAAAGTGAATGCGTGTTGAACTATGCACATAGGAGCTAACAGTTAAGCGCAATAACCAAAATAGTAAAACACAGTTATTCTTTTTATCTTTCAATAAAAAAATAGCCTTATCATCCAGTGCAAATACAAAATAATTTGCTAGTAAAAACAGTCATGATAAAAAAAATCATGATAAAAAAAAAAAAAAAGAGTTGACTTGGGATTAGAAATATGGTAATCCCTTAGTCTTCTTCCGACCGGCAGTAAAACCCATGCCGAAATGAAGAAGCCGTTTGGCTTTGCGGGATGTATAATTTTGTAGACACGTCCGGTCAAAATGGAAACGTTAAATCCGATGCTTCGTGTAGAGAGGGTGCCACGCTCTGTGCACGTTAACTTAAGATCACTTGCAACAACTCTTTGAGGGGTCCGCTCTTTGGGAGTTCATCGTATAAGTTACGAAGCCTAGAAGGCCTAAACGGTAAATGGCAATATTGCTCAAATAAATCAAATATTTTGCAGACAATATTTACTTCTAAAACCATAACATACTTTGTTTATTTGAAGTAATTGTATAGTATGATCAAATGGCATTTTGGTATATAGATTATGTTTCGTTTGATGCTTTATTTTAGATAACTGCAGTGATGTATGCTGAATTGATATTGCTTTTTTTAGGTAACTGTTTAGTATGATATATTGATATTGCATTGTTTTAGATAACTGCTGTGGTGTATGCTGAATTGATATTGCCTTTTTAGGTAACTGTTTAGTATGATATATTGATATTGCATTGCTTTAGATAACTGCTATGATGCATGCTGAATTGATATTGCTCTTTTCAGGTCACCTGTCCTAAAGGGCCAGTGTGAGCTTTTCCTATCACTTGACGTCCATCATCTTTCGTCAGTGTCGTTATCCGTTAACTTTTACACAACAAAAAAATCACCTCTGAAACTACTGGTCCAATTAGAACCAAACTTGGCCACAGTCATTATTGGGTGTCTAATTTGAAATGTAGGTCCGATGATCCTCCTGCCTATCAACATGATAGACATGGCTAAAAATAGAACAAAGGGGTAAATTGCAATTTTTGTCTGTTATCGTGAAAACCGCTAAAGACAGATTAAATTTGACATTGGCAGAAATGTTAAGATTCTTGTGATCTACATACTGTCGATGTGCATTAAAACTGCCAGACGACTTCTCATAGGAGTTATAACCCTGAAATAATGATTTTTTACCTATTATCTTGAAAACTAAAATTGACTGAGAAAAACTTTAAATAGCAAAAAAAAAAAGACATCAGCAAGACAAGACCTACAAATAATCTTACATGGCCGAAAAATGATTAGCAAGACAAGATCAACAAATAATCTTATATATATATTCATAATTACTCTATAAATATCAGCACAACACTGTTAAATCTGAAAATTTGCAAAAGCAAATTTTTGTTCTTCCCTCGCCGGGATTCGAACTCATGTTATTGGGATATCGTGACAACAATATAAGTATTTATGTACCTATTGAGATCATCTTATCTTATCTTATCGTTAGAGCCTCTAGTTTAGTTGACTGACTTTGTATAGTCTGATGAATTAATATTATTTTTTTAGGTGAATGTGTCGATGGTGGTAGGAAACATCATAATGGAGAAGCTTTTCTCAGTTTTGATTTGGTTAATAATTGTTTTTGTGGACAAGATAATTCCAAACACTGCACTAAACATCCAGTTGACCAGTATTCCTACTGTAATCACGCGAGACCTGGTAGTGATGGCGACCATAATACAGTTGTAGTGGTAGAAAATCCTCGACCACCACCACCACCTGCAAAAATCGTTGCATTTGTACCTCCCCCACAGCAGCCGCAAGCCCCAGCGGCAATGGCTTTTGTACCAGCACCCACACAACCACCAACTCCACGACAAATGGCCTATGTACCGCCTCCCTCCCGACCACAAACTCCACCACAAATGGCATATGTACCGGCACCCACCAGACCACAAACTCCACCACAAATGGCCTATGTACCGCCTCCCTCCCGACCACAAACTCCACCACAAATGGCATATGTACCGGCACCCACCCGACCACCAACTCCAACACAAATGGCATATGTACCGGCACCCACCGGACCACCAACTCCACCAAAAATGGCATATGTACCGGCACCCACCCGACCACCAACTCCAACACAAATGGCATATGTACCAGCTCCAACACAATCATACGTTCCTCCTGGTGTTGCCGTTCTACCAGCGGCTAATAATAAGGAATCGACAGCTTTTATGCAGCAACCGCCATCATATTCACAACATCAGCACCCAAAAATGGTTCCACACCCTAATTTCTCAGCAAAAAGTCCAAAATCTAATTTTCATCAACGTTCCAACAACAATCCAAACTTGTACAGAAATAATCAGTATTTCCAAGGTTTTCCAAATTATCCACATTTTCAAAGTTATCATCGCAATCCTTATTTTGAACAACAGATGTGGGGATTTAATCGTAATGTAATCGATGCGTAACTGTCAGTCATTCTACCAAGTGCTTTGGCAGATTATTCCTGTAATCAAAAATAAAAAAAAAAAAATTTCATGGATATTTTATTGTTTCTTATTATACAGAAAAATCTTTGAGCAACTTACGTCTGTATTGTTCAATTAGTTGAGTTGTCACGCGATACGACAACAAAATTAAAATGATTTCGAAATGTATGTAGTTTGATTAAATAATTCTCTATTATTGGTAATAAAATTTATTTAGAATATTAGGTTAATATGTTACAGATTAACAAAACGTACAAGAATATTTAGAATTATCTTCAATACAAGAAAGTGTCATGCATGTCCATGTCCAAGACAATTTGGTCTTCCCTTATTTTCTGAAGAGTTTGACTAATAGACATTTATACATTGTGACTTGGATGGAGAGTTGTCTCATTGGCACTCATACCACATCTTCTTATTTATAATTACGATATTAAGACGATTGTGGATGAGTCAACTTTCATCAATGTCTGATCAAGAGAGGTCAACACCATAGACAGTTAGGAAAGCTATAAGAGGGGACAAGAAGATACAAATAACAAACTATCATTGATTTTGTTTTTGATAAATTAAAACATAACATATGTCTCTATGCAGTTATGAAAACTCATCGTCCTACAACTTGTCTCTATAATGTACTTGAATTTTGGTATTGCACAAGATCACAATTTTTTTCAAACGATTATGACGTCTTTACACTTAATCCGTTGAATATGTACTGATTGATTCCTTAGTCTGGAAAAACTTGATTTATTTGTCAGTTGTAAAAAGTAAAATAACAAAAATACCGAACTCCAAGGAAAATTCAAATCGGGAAGTCCCGTATCAAATGGCAAAATCAAAAGCTCAAACCCATCAAACGAATGGAAAACAACTGTCAAATTCCTGACTTGGTACAGGCATTTCCTTATGTAGTAAAAATGGTGGATTAATATAAATAAGAAGATGTGGAATGAGTGCCAATCAGACAACTATCTATCCAAGTCACAATGTGTAAAAGGTAAACAAGTGTAGGTCAAATAATAGGTGCCAACCTTCACCCTACATGAAACAATAGTGTAACATCACAACATAGAAAGACACACTATAAAATATCAATTGAAATGTCTTAACTCAATCAAAAAGTTAAAATCACAACAATACTGAACTCCGAGGAAAATTCAAAACGGAAAGTCCCTAATCAAATGGCAAAATCAAAATCACAAACACATCAAACGAATGGACAACAACTGTCATATTCCTAACTTGGTACAGGCATTTTCTTATGTAGAAAATGGTGGATAGAACCTGGTTTTATAGCGTTAAACCTCTAACTTGTATGACAGTCGCATCAAATTCCATTATATTGACAACGATGCGTGAATAAAACAAACAGATATAAAATGTAAAAATGTCAAAATAGGGGTACAGCAGTCAACACCGTGTCAAAATCTTAATCACAACAAAAACAAACAAATATTTAACAAAGAAGCACAAAAAAGCATATATCACATTTAACAACCTCGTTCAATGCTAACTTATTTTTGTATTTTATTTATGTATGCCAAATCAACCCATAAACCCAAATTAAAAGGATCGAGGGATTTTAAGCACTGGGACCGAATCGTAATCAAACAGACATATAAGGTAAAAATGTCAAAATAGGGGTACAGCAGTCAACACCGTGTCACAATCTTAATCACAACAAAAACAAACAAATATTTAACAAAGAAGCACAAAAAAGCATATATCACATTTAACAACCTCGGTCAATGCTAACTTATTTTTGTATTTTATTTATGTATGCCAAATCAACACATAAAGGATCGAGGGATTTTAAGCACTGGGACCGAATCGTAATTTTAACATTAACTCTGGCGTAGAATCGCGTGTTTGACGTCAGAATGTAAACGTCACACAGGTAGAGATATAAAACAATTTTGTCGTTCAAAGTATGCAAAAATTATAATAGAACAATAACACAATGGCGGGATGTTTAAAGTACAGAGACACGTCATATCAAAGAAACATATAAAGTCACACGGACAAAGCACATAAGTAAAAATGAAAATTATACAAACAACACAATGACGGGATGCATAAGTACAGAGCCACGTCAAATGTATATCACCAAAAATAGACCAAACAGTAAAAGTAATATTAATAAAGACAAATAAAAGAACACTTTAACACGTTATTAAAATAATAAACAGCGCCAGTACGCAGAATCTATACTTCAAGACCATCATGTATTATGTGTGAAGTAAATACGGAATATTTTTCAACAAGATCTTGGTACCTTCCGATGAACTTTTTTAGAAAAAAGACGAGACTTTTCTTTGACATACCCTGGTTCATCAACTTTCTGCACAGACACTGGTGACGTTTTACAAAGTTTGAGTAGGAGCTACAAGCTCTTGCATACCGAATAAGTTGGGAGATATATATCCCATATGCAGGTGAAGTTGGTATATTGCTACTAAGGTGGGGGAAATTGATAATTTTGAAATTAAAATCGTCTCGTTTGTCATAGATTCTGGTACTGAGAATATGTGTATGTCAAATTCGAGGTATAAGTCTAAAAATGAGGCGGAGGAAGCCGTGTCTTTTGTTTCTTTAATTTCTAGTTCTGGGGGATATATTAAAGGAACCCAATCAGAAAAGTTCGGATTGTTAATGGAAAAAACATCATCAATATATCTGAAAGTGAAATTAAATAATCTGGCTTCTTTGATCTTCTTGTTTTTGACAAAAGATATATTAACAAAAACAAGTGAACATACACTGAACGAATCAATTTGGTCTATGACACAATGTAAATACAAAATTAATAAAACAAGGGGGTTAGATATAAAACAACACCAGAAAGACAACCATAACCTTGGACAAAATGCCGTCAAATAAAATAACGTACACAGGTAAATAAAATTAATTTTGTTGTAAGGTATACATGGAGTACGGAAATAATTTTTACAAAATAAATAATTTTGTTGTTCCTAGTACGAGAACAAAAGTGAAAATTTATCGTCATACTAAACACTTATCAAAGGTGGTATATATTAAAAATAGTGAGACCAGATATAAAATTGAATAAGTAAACATTAAATAACAAAAATACTTTACAAATTGTATCAACAGGTCAAATTAACACGAAAGTACGATTTGAGAGTACTCGCAGTTACTAAAACAATTAATAATAAAAAATCATGCATCAGAGACTAAAATCAACTAAAACACATCCCAGGGATTTAGTGTTATAACGTCATGGACAGTCAAAGAAGACATGACTTGTGCAATGACAAAATAAAAGTATCGACAGGCGGTAGAATAGTTAGGAGATAACTGTGAATAAATATGTATAATGTAATATATAGATAGAGTAATCTCTATATCGAAAATGAACGTGGATACAACCCAAAAAACCGTTTGAAAAGAATATAAATTTAGTTATGTTTTAATTTGCTGATGCCAAAATCGATATTTGTGCCAATGTAAACTATATTCAAAGATATAATTACAACATTGGTAAGATAACCTTTACTAATAAGTTTGTTTAAAGGTTCGATGAGTTTACACGGATCACATAGTGATTTCCGCGCTTTTAGTACAATATTACGGTAAAATTTAGGATGTGAAATACCGTTTTTAATAAGTTTTCTACGGGTGCAGCCAAATTTACTATCTTTGTATCTATGAAAGAAGTTAGTAAAAGTTTTAAGCAACTTATGGTAACTAAATCCCTGACTTAATAATTTACCAGTGATGCATTGATTACGTTCGTTAAAATCTATTACATATCTACACACACGGGCATAACGAACGAGTTGGGATATATTAACACCGTATGATGGAGCAAAAGGAACATCGCCGTCTAAAAAGTGAAAATTAACAATAGAAAATGAAAAATCGTCTCTTTTGTCGTAAATTTTAGTATGGAGTTTCCCTTTAAAAATTGAAATGTCTAAATCTAGAAAAAGGACAACTACTGCTGTTTATGTTAGATTTATTTAAAGTAAGTTCCTTTGGGTAAATTTCGGTAGTATATTTAGAGAACTCTGGATTATTTAACGAAAATATATCATCAAGATAACGGTAGCTATTGTTGAATGTATTAACCAAATGTAACAATGACGTGTCTTTACTGAGTTTGGTCATAAACTGAGATTCATAGCAATACAGAAATAAATCTGCTTTCAAAGAGGCGCAGTTAGTGCCCATAGGAATACCTTCTACCTGTCGATACAATTTATCGCCAAAACGTACATATATGTTGTCCAGGAGAAAATTTAAAGCTTCAATCATATCTTCACATTTCTAGTAAGTGTATCTAGCATACTTTCCTTTTTCGTTACAGAAAAGGCTTTAAACGAGTTACAGCCTTGTTGTACTTCTTCGTCAGCAGAGCTTCTAGAAGGCCAATAGGCACACTGTCACTTCCGACTTGTTGTCCTTCTTCGTCAGCAAAGATTATAGAAGGCCAATAGGCACACTGTCACTTCCGACTTGTTGTCATTCTTCGTCAGCAAAGATTATAGAAGGCCAATAGGCACACTGTCACTTCCGACTTGTTGTCATTCTTCGTCAGCAAAGATTATAGAAGGCCAATAGGCACACTGTCACTTCCGACCTGTTGTTCTTCTTTGTCAGCACATTAACACACTGACCCTGTACACTAAATGTCTTCATAGCTCCCATCGGCTGTACAAAGGAACATTTTCTCTAACATTTCCCCATACTCAGCTTGAGAACGTGCCATTCTGTAATTAAATTAACATAAACTTGAATTGAATTGTGCCTTTTTATTGTTATTAATTCGTATTTAAAAATATCAGAAAACAAATAATTTTTAGATGATATACACTTAAAACAATGACATCACCAATATAGTTGGAATTGAAATTTTTTTTCTGTATTAATACTTGTTTTTTAATATCAGAATTGTGTTTAATTATACAATATCGTCAAAACACTGACGTCACTAGTAAAAAAAGTACATAAAAAATCGCACAGTAACATCTGAATTTGACAATTACACCGATTCGAGAGAGCACATATGTTGTATCTTACATAAACATATAACATAATAGCTAAACAAAAGTTAACATATATTTTTTCCTGAATATAGACGCTTTCAAAGACAGTCGTAGAACTTTCACGGTCCGGAAATATATTTTTGATCTGTGAAGTGA